GGGTATTTTGGTCATTTTGGGCTTAAGGCCACTAGGGGCTGGAATAAGTCCAGAAAGATACAGTTTATTGATCAACATATCAAGATTAATAGTCTGGAAGTGACTAAAGGCTTTGGTGAAGTCTCTAGGGTCAGAATCTTTAAAGTGACAGGTCCAGTGGCATAGGCTGTAAATATTTGAAGGTTTTACAGCCTTTGGATTTTAATTCAGATTCTGGGGTTAGAGACCTCAGAATGAGCTCAAAGTTGGAGGGTAACCTCTAGAGACATGTCTTACCACTTTTCAAGTGATAGACCCTGAATCAGAGACCATTTGGCTGGGTTTTGAAATGTTTGAAAATTCTTTGAAAAGGGTCTTTAGGACAGGGCCTTAAGACTTAGGATTTGAGTCTAGACTTCTGGATTTGGAATGGATTTTAAGTTTGAATGATTAGTATTGAAGTATCCAAATCATTTACAATCATGTTGTGATTGTTAATGGATGGATAAGGTCAAAGCTAGATTAAAGGTGGGATCAAAGTCTAGGTTGAAACTTGGATTCTCAAGTGGATTGAGTCAAAGTTTGAAATAATTTGGATTTGAATTGAATGAAGTTTAAGATTTGAATTGATTAAGGGTAGGGATTAATTTGAAGTTGGAGTTGATCAAAGGTATGGATTGATTTGAGGTTGGAGTTGATCAAAGGTGGGGATTGATTTGAGTCTGGATTGGTCCTAAGATCTAGAGGGGTTCTAGGATCTAGGATCTAGAAAAGTTCTAGGATTTGGATATGGAAGAATCCTAAGCTCTAGAGTAGGACCTAAGGTCTTGGATCTAGAAGGATCCTAAGGTTTAGCTCTAGAAAGGATCCTAAAGTCTAAGTAGATCCTAGGGTCTAGGATTGGATCTGGATTCTGGAAGGATCTTAGTGACCTCACACAAAAATGAGGTCAACAGACGGTGATATGGAATCTAATTATTGAGGGACGATGTGGGTAATCTGTTAATGAGATAGTTGGCTGTTTGAATGGCATCGGCCCAGAAATTAGGTGTGAAGTTTGCGGCATGAAGTAGAGTGCGGGTTGTCTCAACCAGATGCCTGTGTTTTCGTTCCGAGACTCCATTTTGTTCCGGAGTGTAGGGACAACTGAATTCATGTTTAATTCCGTGAGATAGCAGAAAATTTTTGAATTCCTGGCTTGTGTATTCGCCTCCCTCATCCGAACGAAGTGTGGCTATGGGGGAGTGAAAGTGTGTTTGAATCATGTTGTATAAGTGTTTAAATTTTAGGAAGCTTTCACTTTTAGCGTTCATGAGGTATAGCCAGCAAAATCTAGAGCAGTCGTCTATAAAGATAATGTAATATCTATGGACATTTAGAGAAGGGACCGGCGAGGGACCCCAAACGTCGGTGTGAATTAAACTAAATAGTTTGGATACATGATTGGCTTCCTTAGGAAATGGAAGCTTGTGGCTTTTAACCACTTTATAGGAAGAACAGAGAAAATTCTGAGACCTATTACATATACTAGGTAGAAGTTTAGATAGTGTATTCAGCGTGCGTTGATGAGGATGCCCAATCTGGAATGCCAGAGAGAGGCGGAAGCGAGTTGTGTGCTGAGAGCTTGAGTGGGATGTTGAGTGCCGGAGTTCAGAGGGTAGATTCCATTTCGATTATGTCCACGGAGAAGAATTTTGTTTTCCAGCAGATCCTTGATGACAAAACCATTAGAATCAAAGGAGATGGAGCATTGGTTATCAGCGGTTAGACGAGAGATGGAGATTAAATTGTGTGTAAGTGAAGGAAAGTGAAGAAGATGTTTGAGATGAAGCTTACGGTTAGTGTCCGGTAGGGGTAGGATACCAGCGTCGTTGTGAAGGATTGGAAGAGACGATCCGCTTGCTGTTGAGACTGAGTCGGTACCCTGATACGGAGCCGAGTGGTGAAGATTGGAAATGTCTGACGTGAGGTGTGTAGATGCTCCCGAGTCTAAAATCCAGTCATTTGTAGGAGACAATTGGTTTTGCGTGAGTAGAGCTCTGGGTTTGGATGGAGTTAGGGAAATGTAGTTTGAGTTGTATCTGTGCCAACATGCGGCTGCTAGATGACCTGGTTTGCCGCATATCTGGCAGTAAGTCCGTTCTCCTGTCTTGGTAGTAGACGGTGGGGGACGGCTGGTCTGAGCGGAGCTGAATGTAGTTGAACGTCCTCTGTTGCCTCTGTAGTTGGAGGTTCTTCCTCGACCTCTTGTGGCATATAGAGCCTGATGATCGGCATTCGCAGCATTGTCCTGCTGCACCTCGGATTGTAAGTCTATCTCTTCACTGCAAAGCAGGGAGTAGAGAGACTCTAGTGATATGGGATGCGGTGAAATTCGTATTGCTGCCTTGAATGGATTGTATGACGACGGTAAACCTTTGAGAGTGTAGTGAATGATATCCTCCGTGTCTAAGTGACAAACCAGCCGCTGCTATGTTGTCTATGAGTGTTTTGATCTTGCTCAGGTATTGTGTTACAGTTAGGTCGCGCATTTGAGTGTTATGAAGCTCGTTCTTTAACTGTATCACTCTTGATCTATTTGTAGGTTGCAGGCGCAGCTCTAGCGCGTTCCAGATGTCCTGCGATGTCTTGAGATGCAGAATGTGAGGAAGCACGGACGGTGAAATGGTAGAATACAGGGCCGAAATGAGGTTCTGGTCTACAAGTTTCCACAGTTTGTGGTCAGCCGCTGTTTCCGAACCTTCAGGTCGACACGGAAGAGTTCCGGTGATATAACCGTCGAATCCATTGGCAGTGAAGGCTTGAAAAATTTGAATACGCCAGATGGCGTAGTTATCTATAGTGAGTTGAGTATGCACTATGAACTTGAGATTAGACATTAGAAATTTGAGCGAAGGTGGTATTGATACTGCCGTCATGGATGTGAGCAGCGTCGAGGAAGAAGACGTCTGAGATGAGGAAGATTGGTCCGCCATTCTTCAGCGATGAGAGTTCTGCAGGCGGTTCACGCTCTGATACCATGAACGAAGACCTGCAAGGTTAGAAAAGAGGAAAACAGAGAGTAGAAGATTTCATGGAAGCCATCTCATTTCATTAGAGAAGCATAACATTTGCAGTGTACAATAGACGCTTATATAGAACTTTTTGGGGAGACAAGCCGTTGGGTAAGTCAGAAGCCATTGGCGCCAGACTGCGGGTTCAGTGAGACGAGGTTCACTACTGCTGAGATGGCAGAGCATGATGATGATGTTAACCGCAGGTGAGTGGAGGTGTGTTAACAATAAGTTGCTAAGAGAAAATCTTATTTTAAATGTAAAGATTAATTATATGAATAACTTTAGCATAAATGCTTTTCATGATCAACTAATCCAAGGAAAAAAATCTACACTAAAGATCATATGCACACACAAATATTAGGTGCACTACTAATGTTGGCCAGAAACTATAATGATAGAACTATACATTAGAACACCTCAATTTAAGCTATTAGGATTCTTAAGCTCTAATATGCCAGGTAGTTCGATCTCCACTGTATATTTTAATCATATTATTCAAAGTAATTTGGGTTCTTAAGCTAACGAATTGAACTTATCTTTAGGTATGTCTTCACTTTAGGGCCAATGAAAGCAGATGATACTCCGATAGTGGATGCTCAAGATATATGACTCGAAAATGATCACATGTTGCTTCGCTAGAACCAAGTGATGGTGGCTATGTGTCATTACTAGATAATACAAAAAGAAAGATTATTACAATAATTATCATTGACTATAGCTCATATTGTTAGGAAGTGTGCCCTAAAGCAATATTGTTAGGGAGTGTGCCCTAAAGCAATATTATTATAATATATTTTTTGTTAAAATAAATATTTAAATATACGTTTAGCATATACATATATTATCATTTGATATAATATTTTATTATTATATTTATTTCATGATTATTTATGTAACCATAATTCAATATATAATTATATACGATAAGATTGAATTCATAATAATCTAAACAAATTCATAATTATTAATTACAGTTAGAATCTATAATTAACTTTTATTAGTACAGCCCATCAATATTAATAATGGAATAGTTTTATCCAGATTATCTAATATGGAGATATTAATGATGGAGGCACTTTATATACTATGATTATATAGAATGGGACCTAAGAAATTTTGAATTCTCTGATAAATTCTATTTCAACATGCAATATTTTAAAATTAATCATCAAGATAATCATATATAAAATAATCTTAATCTTTAGTTATTAATAAATTCCTTGTGAGATTTGATTTCTTAACTTACTCTAAAATAGCTTTGAAAATATGAACTCAATCTTTATATCTTAGAAACACAATGAAATAAGTGGTTGGATATATATATATATATATCATAAAAATAAATTTTATGATCAAATTATAAATATCAATAAAATACTATACAAATATAAATTGAGTGAATATTAACAAATAACAACATATAAATCAGCACTTAAAGAACTTTTTCCAACACTAATTTTTTTTATCAACTACAACTACAAATAGTAAAGGTCAAACTAATCATCCTAAGTAATTCATGTGACAT